TAATGTGCACTGTCCTGATTAAATAAGTAAAATACAGTCAAATAGACAGTTAAAGGAAGTTTTTCCTTGCCTGTGTCGCCTAGTGCTTGCTCATGGTGGGAATTGTTGGGTTTCTGTAATTAACTTCAGAGTAGGTCTGACCTGCTCTGTTTGGAAAGATAACTGTTGTTGAGATGTGGAGCTGTATGAATAAAGTTTAATTTAATTGAACGTCTCACCGCGTGGAAGCCGCGCCCGGCCAGCAGCGGCGCGGCGTTGCCCAGGTCGGCGTGCAGGAAGCGGACGTTGTCGGGCCACTCGTTGCCATGGCGACAGGCCCACGATGCTCGCCAACGATCGTAGTTACGGACCGCCATCCGCCAGTGGTCCAAACGCACCTCCAGGCTCAGCACGCCACCCGAGGACCCCACTGGAGGAGAAAACAAGCTTTAATAGCCATAAAACAGCTTTAAAATCCATAAAACCGCTTTAAAGGGCCACAAAAAACTGCTTTAAAGCCACAAAAAAAAAGTAAAAGCTTCCAAAACAATTTAAAAGCTTCCAAAAACTGCTTTAAAAGCCACAAAAAACAGATTAAAATGCCACAAAATAGCTTTAAATGCCACAAAATCATTTAAAAGCTACCAAAAACTGCTTTAAAAGCCCAAAAAATCAGATTTAAAAGCCACAAAATAGTTTAGAAGGCCCCCAAAACAGCTTTAAAGCCCACCAAAACAGTTTAAAGTCCCCAAAAACAGCTTTAAAAGCCACAAAACAATTTAATGGCTTTCAAAAACTGCTTTAAAGCCCCTCAAAACTACTTTAAAAGCCACAAAACTATTTAAAAGCTTCCAAAACTGCCATAAAGTCCCCAAAAAAGAACTTTAAATGCCACAAAACAGTTTTAAAAGCCATAAAAACATCTTTATAAGCCAATAAACAGCTTTAAAAGCCCCAAAACAGCTTTATAAGCCACAAAACAGCTTTAAAAGCTACAAAAAAGAACAGCTTTAATAATCCCTAAAACTGCTTTAAAAAACCCAAACCCTGCTTAAATCCCCTAAACTGCTTTAAACCCCCGTACAGAGCCTATATAAATAAAACTGAATTGAACAGAGCTGTTTCACCTGCGCGGGACAGGACCAGAGCTGTATATATAGATATACATCTATATAGATAGATATAGATATTAATCTATATCTATAGATATAGATATATATCTATATAGATAGATATAGATATTAATCTATATTACAGAGCTGTATATATAGATATATATCTATATATATAGATATTAATCTATATAGCCCTTTCACCTGCGCGGGACAAGACCAGAGCTGTATATATAGATATATATCTATATAGATAGATATATATCTATATAGATAGATATATATCTATATAGATTTATATCTATCTGTATATATAGATATATATCTATATCTATATAGATAGATATAGATATATATAGCCCTTTCACCTGCGCGGGACAGGAAGAGAGCTGTATATATATATCTATATAGATAGATATAGATCTATATCTATATAGCCCTTTCACCTGCGCGGGACAGGAACAGGCTCATGGCTCCTGACCCGGATCCGGCCTCCAGAACCTGCTGCCCCGGACCCACATCCATCATCAGCAGCATGTGGGCCGCGTCCTGAAGGATAAATAAATAAATAAATAAATAACCTGGGGAATAAATAAATAAATAACCTGGGGAATAAATAAATAAATAACCTGGGGAATAAATAAATAACCTGGGGAATAAATAAATAAATAACCTGGGGAATAAATAAATAAATAACCTGGGGAATAAATAAATAAATAACCTGGGGAATAAATAAATAAATAAATAACCTGGGGAATAAATAAATAAATAACCTGGGGAATAAATAAATAAATAACCTGAACACAGAAACACACGAAAAACCCCCAAACCGAGTATCAGACTCCTCCCACATCCACGTCGGCCATTTTGATTAGAACGAAACTTTACTGTCTATATGAAATCAGAAGATAAACGATGTCCTAACCCTAACCCTACACCTAATCCTAACCCTAACCATGACCCTAACCTTAACCCCGTAGGAGCCTCGGCTGGATATCCGACTCCTCCCACATCCGAGTCGGCCATTTTGATTAGAACGGAACTTTACTGTCTATATGAAATCAGAAGATAAACGATGTCCTAACCCTAACCCTACACCTAATCCTAACTCTAACCATGACCCTAACCCTAACCCTAACCCCGTAGGAGCCTCGGCTGGATATCCGACTCCTCCCACATCCACGTCGGCCATTTTGATTAGAACGAAACTTTACTGTCTATATGAAATCAGAAAATAAACGATGTCCTAACCCTAACCCTGACCCTAACCCAAAACATAAACGTAACCCTGACCCTAACCCTAACCCCGTAGGAGCCTCTGCTGGATCTCCAACTCCTCCCATATCCAAGTCGGCCATTTTGATTAGGTCATGTGACTAGCAGCTTTCTGAGGGGAGACGAGACTTTACTGTCTATACGAAATCAGAAGATAAACCATGTCCTAACCTTAAACCTAAACCTAACCCTGACCCTAAATCTAAACCTAACCCTGACCGTAACCCTAACCCTAACCCTAACCCTGACTCTAATAATAAGAAATAAATATTTTTTGGTTAAAGTTGTTTGGACTTATTGTACAAACCTATTTAACATCCACAATTTTAACATAATATTATGAATAGAGTTTAATTGGGATCTTCCTATTGGTGCCCTACTCTGTAAGTCGCTTTGGATAAAAGCGTCTGCCAAATGCGTAAAAATAAACATAAACATAATCAAAATGGCCGACTTGGACATCCATCCTCACCTTGGGGTAGGCGATGGCGGGCCCCCTCTTCATGTGCAGCACGTAGTCCTCCAGACTGGCCCGGCGGACAAAGATGGCCGCCCCCCGGCTGGTCTTGATGACACGCCCATTTTCCCGCCCGATGATGTCATCGTGCGAGGCCACGCCCACATTGCTCTGCAGCCGCCCCCCCGCCTGCAGCAGGAAGAGCCTCCTAAACTCCACCCGCCTGCGCCGGTGCTCCGCCATCAGCAGCTCCCCGGGAACCAGCGGGGCCTCCCCGGGGAGGGGGCGCCGCTCCTGGGGGGGGGGAGATCCATGTCGGCCATTTTGGTTAGGTTATGAGGCTAGGAGGTTTCTGAGGTGGAGACGAGGCTTTACTGTCTATATGAGATCTGAATATGTCCTAACTATAACTCTAAACCTAACTAAACCTAATCCTAACCCTGACCCTAACCCTAACATAAACCTAACCCTAACCCCGTAGGAGCCTAGGCCGGATGTCCGACTCCTCCCACGTTCGAGGCGGCCATTTTGATTAGGTCATGTGACTAGGAGGTTTCTGAGGTGGAGACGAAACTTTACTGTCTATACGAAATCAGAAGATAAACCATGTCCTAACCCTAATCCTAACCCTGACCCTAACCCTGACACTAACCATAAACCTAACCCTGACCCTAACCCTAACCCTAACCCCGTAGGAGCCAAGGATCCAAGGCGGACATTTTGATTAGGTCATGTGACTAGAAGGTTTCTGAGGTGGAAACGAGACTTTACTGTTTATATGAAATCAGAAGATAAACGATGTCCTAACTATAACCCTAATCCTGACCCTAAACCTAACCCTAAACCATCAGCAGCTCCCCGGGAACCAGCGGGGTCTCCCCGGGGAGGGGGGGCCGCTCCTGGGGGGGGGAGATCCATGTCGGCCATTTTGATTAGGTTATGTGGCTAGGAGGTTTCTCAGGTGGAGAGGAAAGTTTACTGTCTGTATGAGATTTGAAGAAAAAAGATGTCCTGACGCTGACCCTAAACCTAAATCTGACCCTAACCCTGACCCTAATCCTAACCCCGTAGGAGCCAAGGATCCAAGGCGGACATTTTGATTAGGTCATGTGACTAGGAGGTTTCTCAGGTGGAGACGAGACTTTACTGTTTATACGGAATCAGAAGATAAATAATGTCCTAACTATAACCCTAACCCTAACCCTAACCCTAACCTTAACCCTGACCCTAATCCTAACCCTGACCCTGAACCTAATCCTAACCCTGACTCTAACCCTGACCCCAAACCATCAGCAGCTCCCCGGGGGAGGAGCTCCAGTGAGAGGCTGCCCTAGGCCTAGGCCTAACCCTAACCCTATAGACGTCTTTTATGTTCTTAACGAGAGTGTCTGGGGGACGATCTGCTAAAGCTTGTCCGTAAATATGGGCTTCTAGACAGAGTATGTAGTAACAAACTGACCCTCTAGGGGGCAGTGCCACTTTTGATGGGAGATGAGCATAGACTGTAGGCAAATAAGAAAAAGGGAACGGTTCTATGAGAGAACATGTCGCCGGTGAGACGCAAGTCCAGGAAGAACGGAATAAGGTAGAAACACATTTTTTTTCCTGATGAAAGAAGAGAGTCTACTCTTTCTTTTGGTGTGTTCGGTGTTTACATAGTCATAGCACAAACTATTCTGTGGCACTAGAAAAATCAGTCAAAATGCTCAAAAAACTCTGGCAGTATGGGACTCTGTTCTGAAAATGGCTGCCAGTCAATGAGTTAATAACTTAATACTTTTTGCACTGTAAGCTGCTGGTAACTTTAATTTCCTGAGGGAGTCTTCCCAAGGGATCAATAAAGTACTGTCTAATGTCTAAGTCTACATCCAGATGTACTTGCCTCTTTTAGCTGTGTGCAGGATGGGGCTGACTCCTCCAGGTGTGGCCCCCCCTCCTCCTCCAGGTGTGCCCCCCCCTGCTCCACATCCGGGTCCCGGAGCTGCTCCACATCCGGGTCCCGGAGCTGCTCCACATCCGGGTCCCTGAGCAGCTCCACCTCCGGGCTCAGGTTGTCCCGGGGCAGGAGGGTGCGGAGTCTCTCCAGCGGGGAAAGGGCTCTCCTCCTCCCGGGGAGCAGAACCGGCCCGGGGGGGTCTGACCCCTCCCGGCCACCGTCGTTTCGCCTCACAGAGGCGGTGGAAAAGGCTCCGGAAGCCCCTCTGAGTCTACTGTACGTGCACACAGACACCATTCTGCGTGCAAACATCCCTCTGAGCGAAGAAGCCATGGCCTAAAGTCTGGGTTTAACTCATCAGAAAAAACAAAACCAGGTCCCAGATTCCGTCACCTGAACACAAACTAACACAGACGACTTATTTCGCTGCTAAATAAGCAGCACGCGGGAGACTTATCACTAAATATCACCTTTAAAATGCACATACTTTACCGGCACCGTCACAAATAAGTTATTTTTTATCTCCGTTACTGTTAAGGCTGGTAAATAACGCGGTTGTTTCCGTTACTGTTCATGCTGTTTACAGCTCGGAGGAGGTCACAGGCACCGCTCAGGCACATGGGCGTGACGTCACAAAGGCGCGACGGGCTTTGGGTTCTGTTACGCCAGCAGAGGGCGACACCGACCCACCTATCAGCCAGTGTTTATGCGAGGGTTTATGTTTGGTAGACAGTTTATTACTTTCTGATTACATTTATTTTTTTATTTTTTATTCCTATTTTAGTTTACTTATAATGTGCTTTCCATAATGATTATTTTTATTTTTATTATTATTATTTTTTTTATTTGTTTTATCTGTCATTGGATGTTATCTTGGATTTTACTTTATATGGCTTTTTTTTACATCGCCCCTTCTTTTAAAAAATGTTCAATGTAATTGTTGTTTGGTACCTTTATGTATTGTAAAATGTTGAGAAATAAATAAAGGACAAAAAAAATGTTTGGTAGACAGTAACCCGAGTAATTAATCGATAAGTAACGCAGTTAACGATATTTAAAGTCATGGAATAAAAAGCCAAAATAACTTAAAATGAAAAACTA